TAAGCACACTCAACTCAGCATTTTTAGCCTCACTACTTGATTACTGCTTTTTTTTTGCAAAGAGAGTTATTTTAATTTTTAATATTTATTTTTTATTCATGTATACTTATATGTGTTTATATGTCTGTTTGTATGCCATATGTGTGTGGATACCCACAGAGAGCGTCAGTTTCCCTGGAGGTGGAGAGTTGTGAACATACCTAACCTGAGTGCTGGAACTGAACTCAGGACCTCTGGAAGAGCAGTAAGTGCTGTTAACTTTGAGTCATCTCTCCAGCGGCCAAAGAAGGAAAATTTCAGGACTCTGTTCTTTGTTTAGAGTGAAGGAATGCCTGGAAACAAGGACGCACAGTCTGGACAGATGCTCCCAACAGGGAATAAACCTCTAAGAGATACTGCCTTATGAGGCTGTATGTGCTAGTCACTACATAATTCTGGGTGGAATATAAAATGCTGAATATCATTCTAGAAAGAACTGAAAGAAGGCAGGCCTTAAAATGACACACCTGGCTGAAAACAGGGCTAATAATGTTGCTGTTCTCAACCTGAGGCCTTAACTGCTGTTGCTATTGCAGTGTGTGTGTGTGTGTGTGTGTGTGTGTGTGTGTGTGTGTGTGTGTCAGAGAGAGAGAGAGAGAGAAGGAGGGAGGGAAAGCTGTATTTCTGATTATTTGTTTTTGTTGTAGCAGCCTGGTAACAGGAAGGTTCATATTTAAAGGTTATGTAGGAATGTGCTTGTTAGAACCCGTCAGTTCCAGATAAGCCAGTGTGATATCTTTTGAGCTGTGAATCTTGGGGGCTCCCATGTTATCACCATATGATGTAAGAGTATACAGTTAATATATAGTTTACCAGCTACCTTCTAAGATTCCAAAATGGGTAAGGTAAAATAAAATGAAATAATGAAACATCGTGAGCCTTACTAGAGGTAAAGCAACAACACAAAGACCCTCCACTGAGAAGTTCAGCAAGGGGGTTGGAGAGTTTTAGCTTCAAATGACTAAACTTAGATTACAGTTACAAGAGCTGCTGTAAGGTTTGAATGAGGGACTCTGGAACTATTTTACCCAGGCGCTGAGACAAATCACTTAACCTCCCAGTGTTTCTCCATCTGTAAAGTGGGGTATTAGTGGCACACACGCCATTGGGGCATCTTATGTGTTAGCTGGAAATTCCGATTATAGAGATGCCTAGTATGTGAGTACTTAGGTAATATTTGCTGTTGTTAATATAATGAAGAAGTACTAATAACTTATGCATAAGTAGTCACCATTATTTAATTATAATCACCTATTAATTTATTTAAATACCAACCATTTGGCTTTGTTAACACTACCAAGAGATGAATGAATGCTAGCCTGAATAACAACTGGAACTAGTAATGAATCAGGGTAGTAATCCTGTATTTTCTTCAATATTCAGATACTAAATTCACTTTATATTCTACACAGTATCTTAGAAGCAGCCGAAATGTTTCTTCTCTGTTCATGTTGCAGGACATAGTTTCCCTCCTGGGTACACCCAACCTAGAGTACTTCATGTTTTTAAGTGCTATGGACTGCATTTCTTACTCATAGAGTACCGTAGGCAGTGGACAGACCTTGTCTGTGTTATCCCAGGCATGTGCCATGTGTCTCACCCTTTTTGGGGGTGTTTGAGGAAGCATCTTTAGGTTCCATAAAGGATGGAGGACAACAGGTGACCCTAACAATACAGGAATATGGATACAGATTTAATCTGAAGGATTGGAGATGTCAAGATGCCCTGTCAGTAAAATCTTGATTTGTGCTCATAAGTTAAAGGGTCAAGATGACAAGTGTCTGGCAGCGTGTGACTGAGGGCTCCCAATGGGAGGCTGAGGCTGATGGTCAACTGGAATATTACAAAGCACTTCCAGTTTTTCACCAGCATATACATACTTTTTTTTATATTTACCTGTCTCACTTTTTGAAATGTGAAACATTATTTGGAATGTTTTCTAATTAACAGCCCACTGAATCACCTTGCCGTTTGTAGATAGTGCCTGGGTTCATTACAACCCAAGTCTACTGTGCAGATCAGTCTGACCATCATTTGTCATTCTTCTTTTGATAACGTGCTTTGTAGTTGCACATTGTTCTTTCTTGACTTTTTAACAACTTTTTATTTCCTCAAAACCAAGCAAGAAGATAAGTGGCTGGTGTGCTATTTTGGACCCCTGGGGAGCAGACCATTTATCAAGGACAATCAGAATAATCCATATCATTAGAGACTGTGCCTAGAATATAAAGTTAGGTTTCTGTCAAAAGAAATGCTCTGTTTTGTTGACTAGAACAAGTTTGAGAATTGGCTTTCTAAGTGGGTATACAGACCTTCTCTGTAGGTCTGTGAGTTTTCCTGAGTATCTGTCAAACCACCATTACCTGCCATTCATGTTCTATTTTAACAATACTTGATTCTTTTACTCTCTGGAACAAAATATATGGGTTGTTGGGTACCTTTTATATTTATGCTTTATTATTTCTAAATTGAAAGGGAATTCAGTTATTATCAAATTTTATTTTGAAACTCTGTGGTATAGAAGCTTTTATTTTGTTCCTGACATATAATAATAAAAATTCAGATTTCCACGATTTACACAAACCAGGGCTGCTGAGATAATTACCAGGGATTAGCAAGGCAGATCACCTTGTTTATGAGCAGAGATGCCAGTAGCAGGTGATGTCTGTTTGACAAGCTGTGGGGTGTTATTCACAATAAAAGACAAGCCAGCCTTGCCAAAGCCTATGTCTGGTGCAATAATAATCTGCTAAAGGCACTCCGTCTAAGCTGTTCATTTGCATAGATGTTCACAATCTTACCTGGAGCTAGGCATGATGAATTGTATTTACATCTTTTCAAATGATTGCAATGATACTGAATTTACTAGGTAAGTGCCTGTCTTAAGAGCATACTATCTGACTAGAAGCAAATGGATGTGAGGAATCAATTCCTTTGTTTACATTTTGTGTGTGTGTGTATGTGTGTGTGTGTGTGTGTGTGTGTGTGTGTGTGTGTGTGTATGTGTTAAGGAAAAAGAGATAGGAGTTGAATTTGAGAGTGATACTCTAGCCATACCGCACTCTAGAAGGAGTAATGTTTGAATCAGGGACTGATGTCCATTGGAGTAAGGGCTCTGAGGTTCCAGTATAAATCAAGTAGATGTGTGTACTCAGTTAAACCTAACAAACACATACAGGGAGTCTGCTATGAGTCAGGCATAATTGGGTAATGAAAAATTAGGATGGGCTGTTCACGGTCCTTGTTATCAGGTTGCTTGTGGTTGCACAAGGAAGGATATATGAAGAAATAAAAAATATGTAGCTCAAAGTATTAAATGCTTGTCAAAGGCATGCACAGTAACCATGAAGTGTAGGAAATGCGTGCAAGATCCATTTGAGACAGGAAGTAATCGAAGAAGGCTTTTCTGAAGGATCTGAAGTCTCCTTAGTTGACTTATAAAAGGAGTAAGTAGTGATAGATGGAAAAGGGCAATATACAGGAAGGAGGGAGGTATCCAGAGGCTGAGGGTCAGAAGAAAGTGGGAGCAAAGAGGTGCACATTGTGTTGGAAAAACTGTGAAATCATTCTATTAAGTGTAACATAAAGTTAAAGGTGGAAAGAATTTATATAGAAGAAGAGAATTCAAGAAATATTCACTACATTAAAAGATAGGCAAACCTGGAAACTGTGACCTAAGGGAACGGAACAATAATCAGTCCCACTCTGTGGCTCAGGCAAAGTCAGAGCTGCCATTAGCTCCAAGCATGTCACTCTTCTTTTGGGTAGGTCTGTGCAGGGGGGAGCAGGACAATGTGTGCTGAGCACAGCTGGATTCCAGCCTTTGCTGTCTGGCCTGCTGCTGTCTAGCAGTGTGCAGGCAGAACACTGTAAGAAAGATAGTATGAGAGCACTTGAGGGGCAGTGATGAGCTTGGCTGTCATGTTTGTCAAAGACAACTAAATCTGTCTTAAGACTGGCAATTTCCTGAATATTGTAAGTTAGCTGTTGAGGCTAGGTTTTAGAATAGTATCTTCTGGGCTACATGCATATCTGTGGTACGTGCATATAACTGATGCTTGCTTCTCATCTGGTTGCCCTGTGAGGTAAAAAGTCTCACTTCAAATCACTTTTCAAAGAATCTTGACTGCTTTATGGTGAAATGCTGAAGAACTGTCCTGATGGTTGAATTGTTATACATTCAACCTGATTCCTGTTTTAGGGTGCCGTGCCGTGTCTGATATCCTTCTGCCATGGCTCTTGTGTACGGTTGGACCCTCTGAGCACAGAGGCTGCAGAGAGGTACCAGTGCGTCCTAAGTATCTAAGTAAACCAACCAACAGAAGCATTTATCATAGATAAGGCCAAACACAACAGTATCTTTTCTTATGTAAATTCTAGGTAGGAAATGAAATCTGTCACCCTTCCCATTATTTTCATTCTTATATTAAAAGTTTTAAAACCAATCATATATATTTGTCAGCAGCTAATTATAATAAATAAATTTGTTAAGTATTTACATTACTTAGATTCTTTGTTCTATAATAAAATACCTGAAGCTGGACACATTTTTAAAAGGCTTATTTAGCTCATAGTTCTTGTGTTCAAGGGCGTGTTCAAGGGCAGGGTCTGGCATCATCTTGGCTCTGGTGAAACTCTCAGGACAGACAATAACACAATGTTGGGATAATTTAGGGTGCCAGAGATTGCATGCAGAGCCAGACCGAAAACCAGAGTGGCCAGGCCTACCTTTTCATGACAGCAACTATCTAGAACTGTGTGAATCCTTTTTAAGGCTGGTAGCTCAAGTGAACCTGCTAAGCTGTGCTTTTAAAGGTTCTCTACCCATGAGCCCTTGCAGGACAAACTCCCAACTATCCAGACTGCGGCAACGTAGACTGCGACAACGTGTATTTGCCTTGCAATTGTAATTGCAAAGGGGCTGAACTCCCTCCAATGTTTAATGTGCCACTGTTTTACAGACAACTCTGCTAAGGAGCACTGAAGAGGCGATGAGACAGCCCAACCGGAAGCGGAAGCTCATCATGGAGTCCAAAGAGCACATGACTCAGGACGGGTGCTTGGTAAGATGTCAGCAGCCTCTGCATCCATCCTGCCCGTTGGTGATCACAGCCGAAGCGCACAGTGGAGTGGTCCCACTGGTGTAACTATACCTGAGGGTTCCAGCTGCTCAAAGATACATGATTATGGATGACTTTTATACGTTATTCTAGAGCATAAGTGTCTTGTATATTTTAAAAGTAAATATATTTTTTTTGCTTTACTTTTAAACTGATACATCAAAACATAAAAATGATATATTATATCATGTTTTAGCATTTAATGTTTCAGTCAAGTTAAACATGTCTGTCTACTCAAACATTTGTTGTTTCCTATGCAAAAATGGGTGTGTTTGTACATGTTCCTGTGTGACAATCAGAAGGCCACTTTAGGTGTTGTTCCTTAAACACCTTCCATGTTTTGTTTGCGGCAGTGTCTTAGTCACTGTTCCATTGCTGTGAAGAGACACCATGACCGCAGCAACTATTATAAAGGAAAATATTTAATTATGGCTTGCCTACAGTTCCAAGGTTGACATTGTCATCATGGTGGGGAGCCTGGCGGGGAGCATGGTGGCACACAGGCAGACATGGTGCTGGAGAGTAGCTGAGAGTTCTACATCTAGATCCACAGGCAGCAGGCAGAGGAAGAGATACTGGGCCTGGGTTGAGCATTTGAAAGCCTAAAGCCCACCTCCTCAGTGACATGCTTCCTCCAACAAGGCCACACCTACTCCAACAAGGCCACACCTCCTAATCCCTGAAAAGTAGTGTCAGTCCCTTCAAACCTGTGAGCCTATGGGGTCATTCTTTTTCAAATTACCACAGACAGAGTCTCTCATTGGTCTGGAACTTTATCACGTAGAGTCAGCTAGCTGGCCAATGAGCTCCAGGAATCTATGCTCTCCACCTTCTCTCTCACTGTCACTGGAACTACAAGCCTTTGTACCATACACAGCTTTTAGTGGGTTCTTGGGATCTGAGCTCAGGTCACCATGCTTTAACACAGTCAGTTTACCAACTGATGTAGATGTAACCAACCGTCTTATTAAATAAGAAACACAGAAACAATGTAAAAGAGAAAGCCAAGAGGTCAGAGCTCAGAGCTAAAATCTCACCCTTCCTCCTGCAGTATCCCAGCTTCCTGAAAGAGAGCTATATCCTGTCTGTCCGTCTTTTTATAGTATTTTGTTCTGCCTTCTCATTGGTTGTAAACCCAAACACGTGACTGCCTCGTCACTGTCTGTATGTACAGCCCCCCCCCAGGTCTTAAAGGCATATGTCTCCAATGCTGGCTGTATCCCTGAACACACAGAGATCTATGGGATTAAAGGTGTGTGCCACCACTGCCACACTCTGTCTATGGCTCTAATAGCTCTGACCCCGGGGCAACTTTATTTATTAACATACAATCAATATCACATTTCAGTACAATTAGAATACCACCACAAACTGAACCAGTTTCCCTTGTCCCATTGGTTATTTCATTGGGGTGAAACTTTATTCTCCTTCCCTTCAATCTTTGAAATCTTCATTTCCTTTTCTATAGCCACCCTCTGTGGGAGTTTGAATGTCATTGGCCCCCATAATCTCATAGGGAGTGGCACTATTAGGAAGTGTGGCATTGTCGGAGGAAGTGTGTCACTGTGGGGGTGGCTTTGAGGCTCCCGATGCTTAGGATACTATGCAGCGTTCTCAGTTGTCTTCCTGTTGCCTGTAAGCCAAGATGTAGCTAGCAACACATCTGCCATGCTCCCCACCATGATGATAATGGACTGAACTTCTGAAATGGTAAGAGAGCCACTCCAGTTTAATGTTTTACTTTATAAGAGTTGCTGTGATCATGGTGTCTTTTCCCAGCAATAGAAACCCTAAGTCACCCTTGGAGTAATGTTGCTTCAGAGCTTGCTCCTGTGTATCTAAGTGTGAATTAGAACCCGGGCATCAACTGTCCCAAGCACACTCCTTCATTTCACTCTTCCCAGACTCTGGTAACTGCTCTTGTTCTCTCAACTTCCTTGAGAACAGGCTCTTCTAGATTCCACATGTAAACAAGATCACAGGGAACTTGTTTTTGTTCCTGACTTGTTTAAGGTGTCACAATACAATTAATCAGGTTTATATGTGGAAAGAAAACAATTTTTTTTTTTACAAAGATACAGACAAATTGGATATTATCAAGAAAGGAATGGAGAATATGAACTGCAGAGGTTTTATTAGAGGTCTCTAGAGAATCACAACTAATGCTATATCTATCCATCCCTCCACCCATCTGTCTATCTAGAAATCTATGTAGAGAATTATTTAAGGATTTGGCTCATGCAATCATTGTGACTACCAAGCTGGAAATCTGTATGGCAGGCTGGAGGCCCAGGAAAGAGGTGCTACTGGAGGCCTGAGTCCCAGGTTTGTTTGGAGACGGACTTCTCAGTGACCTCTGCCTTCTGTCAGGGTCCCCAGTGTTTTGAATGTGCCTTTCCTAGATCTGCTTTTTATCAGCTTCTACTGATTTCAGAGTTAACCTCACCTAAAAATATCTCACAGCAATATGGACACCTTGAAGTTATAATGTTTATTTCTACTTCTCTGGTCCATGCTGTTTCCTTAAGACAACTTTGTGCCTTGTGGAAACTTAAGGTTGGACAGAGTTGTCTGGAGACCCCTGTGGTGAATGTTTCTTTTTGATTAGTGGCTGAGATCTCCATAGACTTAATTCTCTACTTTGACCAATGTTGAGTTTCTGCATAAACCACCATCTAGTGCTCCAAGAAGCCCCTCTGGTGGGTCTGAGTACTGCACTAATCTATGGGTAGAGAGATATGAATTTAGAAGGCAGTTTAATATTGTATGCATGTAGCAGAGAAATAGTATTTGGTTCACCCCGAAGCCTGTGAACTCCCCAAGCATGGGTTATTAACTAAATTTACAGTACCAGGTATGTGTTTTCTCTCCTGTGGGTAGGCCTGAAATCCATTCAGAAAGCAGTTGGTTAAAATCCATGCCACTATTGTATCCATGGACATGTTTTGCTATACCAGTCATTGATGTTCACAGGGCAAGGCTTTTGATGACTTTCCCACCTCGCAACCTATAAGTAATACCCAGTACTATATAGCTCGTCAGCAGGAAGTTCTCTGGTCATTATTAAATTAGAATCTTCATGTTGTGTGGCCAAAATGTGTGGTTTTCATCAGGAATAGGGTGTTTCCATAAGTTCTGGTGGGTAACCAAGAGCAATGACAATAGCCTGTATTGTTTGGGGGTGCTTCTGGGATACTCCTAATAAAAAATGAGTGGGTGGGTTATCCCATACCTGGTCCTGAGTTTTTCATTTGGTGACCTTCTAATGCATTTGTATGTAGAATTTTAAAGGGATTTATTTACATTGTCAAAAATGAGCATATGGTTAAAAAAGGCAAATACAGATAGGCACTGAGGGAAAAGGGGAGTTTTTTGTTTTTTTTTTTTAACCACAGTCCTCATACTTACATTGAGTATCAAGTATTTTCTGAATTAAATATCAAATAATATTAAATATTTCCTGAAATATGTAACTACTACTACTAGTTTGTTGCATATCTATAAGAAATATAAACAAAAAGGAAAGAGAAAACCCCCACATCCTATGTATATGTACATAGCATTCATTTTGAGAATGTGCCATGGTTTAAAAAAACAAGGTTGAGGCCGGGCGGTGGTGGCGCACGCCTTTAATCCCAGCACTCGGGAGGCAGAGCCAGGCGGATCTCTGTGAGTTCGAGGCCAGCCTGGGCTACCAAGTGAGCTCCAGGAAAGGCGCAAAGCTACACAGAGAAACCCTGTCTCGAAAAACCAAAAAAAAAAAAAACAAGGTTGAATGTTTTCTAGTTTTTTTTTTAAGTTAGCGTAGAAAGTAACAGGTTTTATAGTTTATTCACACATTTCTGTCAGCTGTACGTAGTTCTAGTCTATCCCTACCACCCCCTTCCCTTGTGGCCCAGAGTGCCCCCTTCCCCCCAAAAGTTCCCCCATCTGTTTTCATGTTACTTGTATTTTATTACCCTCATTTTCTCCCTCCCTTAGGATCCTTTTCTCTCTTCTCATGATCCCCTTTCTAGTTTTAATGCATATATGCACACACACATGTGTGCACACACATGTGGTAACTGCACATAAATAATTTTAAATTTAGGTCATGTATATGAGAGTAAATTTGCCTTTCCAGGTCTGTCTTATTTTCCCTCTAGCAGTTTTAGAGTTTTTAGGCCTATGTTTGAGATCTCTGATCTGTTTTGAATTGATTGTTGAGCAGGATGTTAGCGTCTGCCATCAATGTTCTACATGGAAACCCAAACTTTCAAGCACAATTATGTAAAAAGTTGTATGTTTTTTAAATAGTTTGTGGAAAATTAGGGGTTTGTAGCTGTGTGGCTTTTTTTCCTGGATCCTTTGTTCTATTGATCTATTGATCTATTGTATCCATTGGCCTGTGTTTTTTGGCAGATACCACACTGATTTTACTACTGTGGCTTTGTGACGTAATTAGAGACGAGGTACTGTGAAATCCTAACCCTTGCTCTTTTCGCTAAGGTTTGCCTTGGTCATTCAGTCGTTCGTACTTCTAATATGAAGTTTAGGATTTTTTTTTCTTTTTCTGCAAAGGATGTCATTCCTATTTTGATGGGGATTGCATAGTATAGTTGTTTTCTCAGTATTAACCCTGTCAATCCATGATCAAAAGAGATCTTTTTATCACCTGGCATCTTCTGTTTCAGTCTCCAGTGTCTAGAAGTTCTTGTTGCAGAGGTATTTTCTCTTCTTTATTAGGCTCATCACTACATATTTTATTAATTTGGAAGCCTCTGTGAAAGGAATCTCCCCCTCCTGACTTCCTTTCTTGGCAAGTTTTTCGCTTATGTTTAAAAGCTACTGACTTTTGTATGTTAATTTTGTGCTCTCCTCCTTTGCTCAAAGAGATCTCATTTCTGGAGTTTCCTGGTGAGGTCTTTATAGTCATTTAAGCACAGTGTCATGTCATCTGCAAA